CGACGCACACGCGCGCCCACGCTCCGCGCGCTGCCTTGGCCTGGACACCGGGGCGCACCCCGGCCACCCGCGCGCGCGCTACGCGCCCCCCTCGCCCCAGGTGAGGAGCCACCCGCTGCTGGGTCTGGCGGCTCAGCGCGGCGGGAAGGCGTGAGAAGCCGCAGTCCCCACCGAGGACCGCCCGGGCGCTGTCCGGTGCGGCGCAGCATGCACGTGTGCCCCTGTGGGTACGCGGGGGAGCGGGTGTGTGCGTGCGGCCCTCTCGAGTGCGACACGGCCGTGCGGGCCTCGTGGGCTTATAAAGGAAAGGGGAATCCCGCTGGTCCGGGACTCGAGTGGGACGCGCAGGGAATCCCCGCGCCGCCGCGCGCGCTTCGGCCCTCGCGCTCCGTGCGCGCAGTTCGGTCCGCTCCGGCAGCGGGGCCTCTCGCGGGCCACGCTCTCTCTGACCCCAGAGCCGTAATTTCTCACTGCTGCGGCAGCCCCCCCTCCCCCCAAGCCCTCCACCTTGGCGGCTCAGGCCGAAGAGGCGACCCAAAGTCCCTGGGCTACCGAGCGCGTTGGGCACCCGGTGCCCCGCCCAGGGACTCCACCGCGGAGCTTCCTGCCGGTCCGGCTCCTGCGCTGGAGGCCCAAGGCAGGGCTCTCCCCACCCGCCCCCCGCGTGCGCCCCGCGGCACTCACAGGTAGCTGCCGCTCGACAGGATGAGAAAGATCTGCGGGCAGTACACAGAGAGGAGCGCGCCGCGCGGAGACAGCAGGAGCATGGTGGGCCGGCGCTCCTGGGAGGGCTGGGCGGCCCCGCGGGCAGCGAGCCTGGGCCAGCTGAGGCCGGGGTCTCCGCGGCCCTCCCCGAGGTGGGGCGGCGACGCCAGGCGCTAGGGACCCGGGCGCGCGGGCCCCGGCGCAGTATTCGTCCGTGCCCCGCCGCCAGGGCCGAGCATCGCGTTGGAGCTGGGGCTGGGACAGCGGCGGGCACTGGGGCTGAGTGCGCGACCGGGGCACCGGCAGTGGGTAGCGGGTGCGCCTCGGCGGCTGTCTAGCCCTCCGTCCGTCGATCGGTCGGAACCGGCTCTGTCGCTCGCTCTGGCTCAAGTCTCCAAGTCTCTCGAGGCGCGCAGCTGCCATTGGACGGGCCGCCCCTACATCCGCCTCCTCTGCGGGCGGGTTTTTTAAAGGGGAGGCTGACCGGAGCGTGCGACAGGAGCCGCCCCCAGGGCTTGCCCAAACTGCCTAGGCCCGTACCACACCCCCCACCTCCCCGCCCCACTTCCGCGAACCACGCAGCTCGGGCCGGCTCTGGAAGGTGCACCTGGGTGGGGGCACCTGCGGGGTAACCGCGCGGGGGCGTGCGCTCCTCTCGGGGGGCTGTGCTCGGGGATCTGTTCTCGTGTTCGCATGCATGTGCCTGCATGTGCCTGTGTGTGCCCGCGGGAGCGTGGGCGCGTCTCAGGGCGCAGGTGTGTGCGCACAGATGCGCTGTGCGTGCCGTCCCTCTGCCCGCGCGCGCCCCTGGGTTTGGTTAGACCGGCGGAGAGTCGCACACCCTCACGCTGGCCAGCCAGGCCCAGCCAGGCAGGGCTCACCTGTGCACATGCGCATTGGTGTCTCTGTAGGGTCCTGCCTCGGCGCCTCTTGGGAGAGGCCGATAGTGAGAAGGGCCATTCATTGGCGCACAGAGGCCCCCACTCTGGCTTCCCCGTCTCACTTCTTTCACTCCCTTTTGAAGGGTTGGTTGGAATGAGCTTAGGGAGGAGCAGATCCGCAAAGACACACTTTCCAAACGAGCCTCCTTCTTCCAGCGATTTTGTTTAAGGCCAGAAACTCATCTCCTGTTTTGAGGTTTTGAGTCCCACCTCCTATTGTCTGCCAAACCTGGCTCTATATGAATGATCTTCTAGATGCAGTGTAGACCCCCATCACCTGGGGCGAAGGCACAAGGCAGGGGTGAGGACGAGAAAAGAGGGGTCTGTGCGATGTGGCCAGGGGCTGGGGTGGGGGGTGTTACCAGCTTCTAGACCCGGCCAGGAGACTCGCCCCAGGCACCCAGAAGGAGGGGGCTGCCTCCTTCACCTCCATCCCACTGGGCCCCTCCCCAAGGGGGAGGAGGCAGGAATGGAGCAGGGCTGATCCCAGGACTTCCTGTGACCCCACTTTCACTGGGAAGAGGCTGCCCCGATTCCAAGGGCTTGTCCCTGCCCTGGCTTGGCCTCCGTAGGGACTGCAGCTTGGAGCGGGCTCGGTGCAAAAGTAAGACAAAACAACTCCCCAAAGCCATTTGTCTTGAAATTGCTCAGAATCCAAGGCAAACCTGCCCCTGGGGGCCCAGATCCCCAAAGGGGCTGTGATGCCTGAGTTCTCAATTCCCCTCCCACCCCGCCGGGGGCTGCACATCAATGCATGTGCCCGATGGGGGAGCTTCCCAGTGTACATTGAAAACGTGCACTCACAGGAGTGGGCTGGTGAGGGGCTGTGATCACAGAGTACCCCCCAGTGCGTACAATCTCTGACATTTGGTTGGAACATTTATGGCCCTAAAAATTCCAACTCCTGGGATTCTGAGGCCCTGAAATACACTCTCTGGAGAAGTCCCCAGGGCGCCCGCAGCGACTGTGATCCTGAGGTCATTAACAGTAAGAAAAGCTTGACTGGTGCGCACAGGTGTTTACTGGGCCCCACCCCTACCCCCAGGGCACAGGCACCCAGGACTAAGCTTCCCAGTACCCGGTGAAGGAGATGATCCTGTGACCCCATTTTGCAGATGAGGGAGGCAAACTGGGAGATTAAAGTGCCTACCCAAGGCCACCGGTGAGGCGTGAGGGGGAGGCACGAATCCAAACCTCATCCTTAAGGCACCGGGCTCCCAATTCATTAACCCCTCAGGCCACATCTGGGCCCAGCTCCCGCCTCCTGCCTGCTCTGAGCAGCCAAGATGGTTGCAAAGAAAGCAAGCCCCCAGCTTCAGTACACTACCAAAGGGGCAGAGGCTGAGTCCCCTCCCAACCCCCCCCCCCTTAGCAGATCCCAGGGTGCCTCCTGGCTTTCCTGGATGTGGTTCTACGGGGGTGTTTGGAGACTAGGTTTTCTCCTCTCCCCCCAGGAGTGGGAGAGCGTGTGTTTCAGGGGCTACAGCAGAGAGAGAAGCTTCCCACTCCAGACCTGGGGTGGGGGTGGGGGCAGAAGGCAGAGCTGGCTTTCTTGCATGCTCCCAGAGAGGCGGGCACAGTGCCTGGGGACACAGGCTGCGTGCCGTGCACTGGTCTCTCTACTCAGACACTGGCCACCGTCGGGTTCGGGATGGCCAGAGCTGAGGTCTGGTTTACAGAGGGCAAAGGGAGGCTCTGGAAAGCGGGGAGAGGGAAGCCACCTTCGGCCGGCAGGTTGGACGGTGGGTCTCTGAGCCCTGCAGCCAGCCCCGGGAGCCCAAGTCGGTGCCATCGGGAGCTCCTCTTGCTGCCTGGGGTGGGGACTGAAGGGTCAAAGAGCTCCTTCCATAAGCTGATGTGGGAGGAAGCTCTTTGGGGTGATTCCTGTTGAGGAACTGGTATTAGGGGGCTAGGAGGAGTGGTGGGTGGTGGAGGCCAGAGCCAGTCCCAGGCTCTGCCATTTACTCTTGGGGGTGAGCGGCTTGGCCTCCCTCACTCCCTGATCCTTAAAACCAGAGCTTAATCTAGAATTGCCAGGAGGGGACAAGGCCAGGCCTCATGGGGGGGGGGGGCACAGAGAGAGCAACTGCGGGGGCTGCTGGAGACACTCAAGCCTGCTTCCCTCTCAACCCCACCCCCACCCCTAGCGCACTCGGTGCGGCACCCTGACCGCCCATAAACAAACACCCAGGGACACGGCGTGCACCCAGACCCACAACAAACGCGGCCACCAGCAGCCGCGGGCACACAGCTCTGCCCCTGCAGCCACCGGCCTCAGTTTCTCCATCTATAAAATGGCGGAGGGGGCGACAGAGGACGGGCGATGGGCGTCAGACGAGAGGATTCTCAGGTGGCGCCTCTGCCTCTCCTCCCGGGAAGCCGCGTCTCCGCCTCGCGCCGGGCCGTCCACCGCCCGGCCGCTGGCGGCGCACAGTAGGGGCGCACGGCGCGGCGGGGCCCCGGAGCGAGGTGCAGCCACCCCCCGCGGTCACCTCGCCCCTCCACCCCCACTTCGAGCGAGGCCGAGACAGATTCTGTCTAAAGGAGATCGCAGCTCAACAGGTAAGGACTCGGCTGGGTTCAGGAATGTGGAAATACGACTCGGAGCAGCTACTGCAGCGAGCAGCGAGCGCGGCCCGCCGGGCGCCCGCCCGCCCGCCCGGGCCGCGCGAGGGGGAGCGCGGCGAGAGGGGGCCGGGCCGAGGGCCCAGGGCGGGCGGGGGCGCGGGCCGCGGACCGAGCCCGGGGCGGCCGGCCCGCCGCGCGGCCCATCCCGAGCCAGCCGGACGAGTTGTCAAGGCAATTTCAACACGTCCGGGTGATGGATAGGGTCGAAGGGCCCAGGCAGGTGCCCCGGCCTGCAGGCTTGCGGCCGAGCGCTCGCCCCCCGCCCGCCCAGGCTTTTCCGGCCGCCCGACGCGCCCGGCTCCCGGCCCCGGCGCGCCCTCCAGACGGCGAGCGCTCGGCCCGGGCTCGGCGCCCAGCGCAGCCCGGGGGAGGGAAGGCGCGTCCCACCCCCAGGGCCTGGAGCCCAAACAGGTGAAAGTACGCGCCGGGCACGCTCGCCGCTACCCGCGAGCCTCGCCGCCGCCCGCGCGCCCTGCTTCCCTTCCACCCGCCCCGGACCCGGCGCACTTCGGGAGCACCCGCCGCTCGCGGGGCTCGGGGGCGACTCTGCTGGGCCCGGGGGGTGGGGGGGCGAGCGGGGAGGGTCCGACACACAGGCCAGCCCTGGATCCCCAGGAGCCGGCTGTGCCCCCTCAGGCCCTACGTGTCCTCGGGGGACCCTCTGGAGCCGGTTCCTCCCGGCTGCCCCTTCCCGGGGCTGCGACCCCTGCCCACGGGGATACTCACCCGAGCTTCACGTAGAGGACGCCAAAGCAGAGAAACACGTAGAAAATCCACTTGCGAAAGTTTCTGTGCATGATCCAGGGCGGGGGGCTGAGCCATAGACAGCGGCGACCGGAGGGGACGCGCGGGCCGGGCGGGGGGCTGGCAAGGGCAGGGGGCTTCGCTGCAGCGCTCTCAGCCGGCGCTGCGGCTCGGGCGGCCGGCGACGCGCGAGGACTCGGCGCGCGCTGCCACCATGGTGAGCTCGGGGCGCCGCCGCGTGCGCCTGGCAGTGACCCGGGCCGGGGACCGCGACCTCCGAGCCGGGCTGCGCGATCGCTGGGCCCTGCGAGCGCCGGCGGGGGCCGGGGCGCGCGCTCCGCAGCCGGGCGGGAGCTGCCTCCGCAGGGCGCAGCCGCCTGGGGCCGTGCGCGCCTCGCCGAGCGCCGCGGCGGCCAATGTGTCCGCACTTGTCCGCCTCCCCAGGTGACTCGCGGCCCCGGCGAGCGAGCTGCGAGCGAGGAGCGCGCCCCAGGTAGGAGGGCCCGCCTCCCGCCCGCCCTCCTCGCTCGCCGCGCGCTCTCTCTCCCTCGCTCCCGGGCTCTCCCCTCCCTTTTCTCCTCCCTCCCCCGTGACACACAAACACATCCACTCCCCCCCACCCCCGGCCCAGGCTGGCTCCCTTCCGATCGCCCTCCTGGGACTGGGCAGGGGAGGGGGATTGGGTGCGCCGAGGGGGGGGGCGCAGCGGAGGGTGCGTCTCGGAAGAGACACCTGCGGTGGGTCAGGCCCCTCCTCTGCGTCCGAAAGGGTGGGGGTGGGGCGCGGGGGAACCTCCCGAACAGGTGGTGATGGCCACTCCGCTTCCAGTCTCTATGGGGGTGAGGGAAGCCCACCCACCCCCGTAGCCTTTTTTGGCAGCTTACCCTCCCCCTCCCCCCAGCAGTTATACACTTGGGGGCCTCCTGGACCACACCCTTAGCCCAAGCATCACTGCCTCTCTTGCAGACCTGGATCCGAGCCCTCCCTACACCCAGGGTCACCCCCACCTGTCAGTACGGCTGCCGGAGAGACTAACTCAGAGGGGACAGGGAAGGGACAGACAGGCCTGGCCAGATGCAGGCGCAGGGCTTGGATCGCCTCCTGCAGAAGCTGTTGTGCTCGGCACCACGATGGGGACAGATAGGAGGGTGCGGCGGGGCCCCCAGGTTCCCTGCCCCCCATCTTCCAGCGCCACGGGCCCCCAAGTCGGCTTGTCTCCTCCTCGGCAGTGCCCGGCTCAGTGTTCACATTCAGAGCCAAGAGCACCAGGTCTAAGCCGCGGGGGTGCCTAGCACACTCAGAACTGCTCAGTTTGGCACAACGGGGGGCGGGGGTGTCGGCCAGTGGGTGGCCGGCCGCAGACCCCGCTGCGCCCACGCCCTGTCTGTCCTGACCAGCCCCTCACCGCTGTCCTGCGCCGCCGGTTCACAGCCCTGCGACGCCCTCAAGCGAGTCACTCCCGAGCAAGTGGATGCAACTGGGAAGAGTTTAATTCCCGAGGACCAGCCGGGCCGAGGCGCGCCGCGGTGGGAGTGGGGCGCGCCCGTTCCCAGCCTCCCTGGGTCGCACCCAGCCAGGCCCCGGCGGGAACTCTGGCCACCCACCCACGTGCCCCTGCGGTCCTGCTCAGCTCACCGCCCAGCCCCTCGCAATCCTTCTGAACCCCCCAAGCCTTCGCCACGACCGGGGCGCGGGCCATTCCTTGGCCCCTGGATCGGGGCCGGGCGGGTGCGCTGTGCGGGGCCGGGCAGACGGGGGAGGGGGGAGGGGGCCCCCGGATGAAAAGGACTTCGGAGACTGAACACAGCCAGGGAAACTGAGGCACAAAGAGAAGCGAAATGACCGAGACAGCCTCCCTCCCAGGGGTCCCCTGAGCCCCAGGGCCCCCGACGTCCCTCGCTGCGAGGCGGGAGCGCGGCCGCCGGAGGGTGAGGGCCGAGCCCCCCGCAGCCCGAGGCGGGAGCGCGGCCGGCTGCGGGCGCGGGCGGCGGGCGGAGCTGCGCGCGCGGGCGGATGCTGCCACCCCGCGGCGACACCGAGCACGCGCGGACGCGGGCCCGCGGGCGCCCTGGGGCCCCGACCCTGCCACCCAGTCCGGGGACCCTCCGCGCCCCCACTGCCGCCAGCCTCAGTCTCAGCGTCCGAGAACGGGGCGAGTCCTCAGGAGCTGCGGGGCCGTGGCCGGGCCGCGACGGTGGCCTCTCCCCAGCTCGGGTGTGGGGGGCCGCTCGAGCCCCCCAGCCGCGTGGACACCCCCCGCCCCCGGCCGCCCATCCCCGTCGGCTCCCGAGCCGGAGGTCCGGAATAGTCCGGCGGGGCGGGGCGGGGGGAGGGGAGGGTTCCTGCGGGCGGGGGGACGCCTGGGTTCGTTCTTGGGCTCAGCCTGCCTCCCTGTGCCTCAGTTTCCCCGGGAGGACAGGACGTAGAGCAGCGCCCCGCCAGACGCGGAGGGACAGCGGCGTCGTGCTGCCGCCTGCCGGCCGCGGGAGGGAGGCGGCGCGGCGGAGGAAGGTGGGCGGAGCAGGTATCTCTGCTCTGGGGTTCGAGACCTGTAAGTCCCTCCCTGGACAGTGCGGATTCTCCTCGGCGTCTCCAGGGGGTGGGTGGAGCTCTGAGTGGCCTCAGGGTTGGGAGAAACCTGGGCTGGGAGGAGCTCTACGAATCCATTTCCCGTGTGTGTATACGCACACACTCGCACCCAGTCGTGTCCATACAAAACATGAAACCAGCTCCTGCCCCAGGGCCTTTGTACACACTGTCCCTTCTTCTAGTGCAGTGTTCTTCCCCTGGTTCTGTGTGACTCCAGCATAAATGTCCCACATCAGGGGGGGGGGGACCCACACCTTCGTCCTCCCGAACATGGTCACTGCTATTCTCTACCCTAACATTCCACTGTCCCCTCTGTGACACTGAGAACACTATGCCATTACTTGTTCCCTGGCTGCCACCAGTCTATAAGCTCCATGGGGACCATCCGCACGTCTGCTTTGGTTCTCGCTCAGTAAGTGCTCAGTAAACAATTGTTGGGTGAACAAACGATTTCCCACGAGGCGGCCGGCATCTGAGACCCGAGATGTTACAAGCCGTGGGGGGCAGGGAGCTGACACTCAGCCGCCACCTCCAGCGCTGACCACAGCCCGTTCTCGCCGCCTTTCCCCTGCCTTGTTCTCGCGTCTGGTTACCAGCCTCGCTGACGAGTGTCCCCCAGACCCCAACAACTCTGAGGGGGTCACACGGAGTGCTGGGCGGGGCACAGCCCAGGAAGTACCTGGCGGCCTTATGAAACGGTGCTATCACACTCACTGCACAGAATGAGGAGACTGGGGTAGAGAAGGAAGTGCTTGGCCAAGGTCACATCGTTGGTGAAGCTGGGACTCGAACCCCAGGCCCAGAGCTTGGGCTCCTTCCGCTGCACAGCTCAGCCTCTCAGACAGGGCCCGTGCCTCATGCAGACACCCGCATCCTGATGCTGGGAGTCCCCAGTTCAAGGGGGGGACACAGTGTGGCCGGAGGTCATGAGGAAGCTGCCAGTGGCGCTCGGCAAACCTCAGTGGTAGTGAGGTACGCGAGAAGGGTCTGGAAAGGACCAGAAATGTAGAGGCAGAATCCCTAACTGGCCACCCACCCACCATGTCCTGTCCTAATCCCAGGGACTCTGGCTATGACAAGATGTCACCTTACATGGCAACGGTGTGATAAGAGTACTAATCACAGGAAGGATTTGTCGCCAGCTTTGAAGTTGAGGAGGGCCTCGCGGCAAGGAATTCAGGTGGCTTCCAGGAGCCCAGAGCGGCGCCTGGCTGGCAGCTTGCGAGGGACGGGGCTCCTCAGTCCTTGCTCTCAGGACCTGAATTCTGCCACTAACTCCCCAGAGTTCGTGCCCTGCCCACGTGTGGGCTTCCACGCTGTGAGACGCTGAGCGGAGAGCCCGCCGCACCTGGCCGGACTGCTGCGCACACAGCTGGGGGCTGGCGACCGGATGTTGCCTTAGGCCGCCGCGGTAGTCGGCCCCACGGCGGTATGCGATTTGGACATGCAGAGGTAGGGAAGCAGAGATCCAAACGACCCGCACGCAGCATGCACGAGCGCTTCGCGGCGCCGGGGGGGTTGTGGAGCGGGGTAAACGATATGGGGGGTTGTGGAGCGGGGTAAACGATATGGGGGGTTGTGGAGCGGGGTAAACGATATGGGGGGTTGTGGAGCGGGGTAAAAGATAAAACCAGGAGACCGGGGCTCAGACACAGAGAGGCCCGGGCGCCCGGCTGAGGAGCAGGGACTCAGGTTCGTGGGCACTGGGGAGCCGTGGAAGACTCGCGAGGGAGAAGGCCCGCCTCTCCCAGAGGTGGGCCCTGAATGGAGTGTCCCAGGCTTGCCTGAGCGGCCGACCCCTAGGAAGGCTCTAGACCTACTTCTCCAGAATGCCGGGGGAGGGGCCTGGGAGCCGGCACGTTTAGGAAAGACGGGTGGCTCTGGAGATCAGCACATTTGGGAAATGCTCCCACCGGACAAACGAATGTTCTGAGTGCACATCCCAGATCCTCTCTGTGCACAAGGTTTTCCAGAGACCCTGTCAGGGAGGAAGCCAGGGAGAGGAGCCCCCCCGCTTTGTGGGAGGGACAGTGCACCCTCTGATGGGTGGGGACCGGAGCCTGCCTGGGAGAAGAGGCTGTAAGAGACAGACGAGGTCCAGCGGAAGCCGGAGAGCCGCTCTCCGTGTGCTCCAATGACTCCCCTGGAGAAGGGGAGACAGAGCTTTTCCCTCGCTCGGGGGGAGACCCCAGAGCTCGACAAGGTTGCATGAGGTGCCCAGGAGCCCAGAGAGCTGGACAGAGTGAGTTCACCATGAAGAAAACGTGCAGGCCATCCTCTGCGAAGGGACTATGACTTCTGACCTCTGTGTAGGTCAGAACCCAGGAGGCGAGGCATTTTCTAGGGGTGGGGGTGGGAGGGGGCGCTCAGGGCCACAAACTTGCTGTTTGGCTGAAAGGCGCTGGGGGTCAGGTCGGCCCCCGCAGAGGGAAGCATCGTGCGTTGTTACCTTGGTGACCAGGTTTCCTCCACTTGCCTCCACTATCGCCCCCACTGACACCCGCAAGGAAGACTGAGGCGCTGAGGGACCCCCCCAACCACGGCTGGATTGTGACTGGAGAGAGAACTCCACCTTCGCTGCATCAGCGCCGCGTGATGGGGAGGTGGTTTGTTGGAGCATCTTACCCTGGCGAACGCAGACCTCGCCTGCCAGGACGAGGGGCTGACTCCCCCAAATATGGCACTTGAACCCAGAGAAGCCAACAGCTCAGCGGGCCTTGTTCAGACTCCAGCTCAAGCGGCTTCTGCTGGGCACGGCTGCCGGAAGAGAGAAAAGAAACGGCTTCCTCAGAGCGAAGCTTGTGAGATGCGCCTCGGCGGGTTGCTTTCCCCCGACT